TTACGACCAATAAAAAGACGTGGCTTTATCGATAGGGTAGAGCTTTCGCGAGCGCGGGTTAATCGACACGGTACAACAATAAAATCAAATTTTGGACGCTACTTCGACCACCGTTTCGACGAGGCGGCAAACTCTTTCGAATAAGCATTGACAGGTCACAGATATTGAAACGAAATAAAAACTAAAGTCTGAGCTGCTTAACATTTATTACTTGATACAGTTTAGCATAAATACATAATGATGAAGTGTACGTTCGTTTAAATTTTGCAAGCTATATATTATAATAGCGTGGAACCAGATAAGGGCACTTATGGGTTCTTATCGCAATGTAATTATGTTTAATTAGAGCTGTTACAGTGTTTGTTTTGATAATTTTTGTGACGCGGTTCGTCCTATGTACCTGTATATAGGGTTGAGTTTTCGAGTTTCCTTGGTCGGTCATAACGATTATTTATTGATATGGTGCACATGTATGGATGTCGTAATGCATTATGCATCGAGGCAACAAAGTCGACAAAAAAAACTGTAAAATTTAATGAGCTGGAATAAAAGTTTCAAAATGGATGCATTTTAGTACTATGCTAATGTGCTCGTTAAGTGCCCGAGGATAATAAATGGCTTCCTTAATGTTGGCAAAAAGAGAAGGCGTAATTTAATTAGAGACGGCGACTGGGGCCGAATCTGGGGATTTTTGGCCAGAAATGGGTCCGGTTGTGGTATGAATGGAAAATTCGAGAACGAAATAGCAAAAAGCTTACGTTTCAGTAAAATATTCAGGTTGTCAAAGGTGTGACGTCATCGATTTTTTTTAATAAACTTTTTTGAAGAACAAGTACTTAATTTACTATTTGAAAGTTTACACTAACGTTATGTAAGAATATTTTGCAACCAGAAACAAAATAATATCACAAATTGTGTCACCAGAGTAATTTTAACATTCAAAATTTTAAATTCAAGTTTAGATCGTTGACCTGTTTCCAGTTTTTTTTTTGAAAATATATACAATTTGATAACAATTTGCTACACCTAATACAATAAAATATTTTATGATTTTGAATTCTTCAGACTCCAGTTTTCATTCATTTAGTGTCTTAAAATTGGTTTTCCAAAAATTCAACATTTTCACAAATAATTTTTTTTGACAAATTCGGCATTATTAGAATTTCAAACTGTAGAATTAGTCACTATAGAAAATTTGAGTTTTAATTACATACCGAATTCCAAATTGTATTATTTTTTTCTTTTGTAGACATTGACAAAAATTTTAAAATTTTGTGTTAAAAACTCTTGCATTCCTAGTACTTGTTACAATAAAACTAATTTTGGCAAATCACATACACTGTAAAAAATAGAGGGTGGGTGGGCGGGGCTAGTACTTGATTAGATAAAATTGATTTTGGCAAATGACATATCCCCTAAGAAAACAAAGGGTGGGTGGGCGGGGCGAATACTTTACAGATAAAACTGATTTTGGCAAATTACCTACTTTCTAAGAAAATAAAGGGTAAAGGGTATATAATTTGGCAAGATCAGTCTTATCTTGGCAAGACAAAATTAGCCCCGCCCACCCACCCTGCCTCTATTTCAGTGATTGATTTATTCGGTTTGAATGAAATGAATGATCTTATGCTGAAGAGAATTAAAATTAGTCGGTAGGATGAGAAGAACGGGGTGGGCGGGGCTAGTACTAGCTAAGATAAGACTGTTTTCGGCAAATCACATATCTTCCACAAAAATAGAGGGCGGGTGGGCGTTACTAGTATCCAATTGAAATATAGCAATTTTTACGATTTTTTAAAAAATTCACTTTCAATCCTACACAGAAATTATGCATTTCGCCAAGAATGTGTTTACGAGAAAAAAAAATAGGAATTGGAAATGAGCCCCATACTTTTTCCACTAAACATCAGAAACATTTTTTGAAGAAGCGCTTGTAGTTGATGTTTTGATTTTTTTAATTACTCGACGTCAAATTTTTACCAAATTTCAACCATTTTTTTCAAAAATATGGAAATAATATAATTTTTTCTTCTCAAACCATTCCTAAGGAAAAAAAATCTCACTGTGATTATCTTTCGCGTTTTTTTAATGTTGCAGATTTCATAGAATACGAAAATGTAGGTTTACCATTTTCATCTGGCTCTTGGTGATTTTATAAAAAAAGATGTCCAAACTATTGACTCTTGGCAACTGCGGAATTTTAAATGCGGATTCTAACATTTTTCTAGATCTAGATGGTAAAACAGTTTTCTAGAATTCCTGGGAACACAGTCATTCTATTATTATTATTATTAGTGTTACTTAAAGAGTGTTTTGTTTTTAAGGCGTAACACACAACGCAGTTTTTTTTAATGAAACACCTTATATATTTTACAGGTTTATTATTAGGCTTTACAATATCATTTGAATTTTGAAATTCCGATGCGAGGTTGTCACGTTGTTCCAATTTACTTCAAATTTTTTAGGCTTCACAAAAAAAATCGCACTAGGGTTATTTTTTACAATATCATTTGAATTTTGAAATTCCGATGCGAGGTTGTCACGTTGTTCCAATTTACTTCAAATTTTTTAGACTTCACAAAAAAAATCGCACTAGAGTTATTTTTAAAATCCGTAGTACAATATTTTATGGAGAGACAAATAAAAGTATGCACTTTGTTGTAGTATAATTGATATTAAATTTTCGTATACAAAGTGTTTATAAAAAAACATATTACAATTTTCAAAAATCCATATTTCTGTTTTTTCAAGTAGGACGTCCCATATTTTATTGCTATTTTCTATATTTAAAGTTGATTAAAAATACTAAAAATTTTATAATTTTTTATAAACACTCTGTACATTAAAATTTGATTTAATTGATACCATAACAAAGCGTGTAGGTATTTCTAATATCTTTCCACAAAATATTGTAACACAAATTTTGAAAACAACCCTGTTGCGATTTTTTTTGTAAACCCTTCCATTTTCAAAACATTTCAAGAAAATTGGAACAACGCGGCAACGCCGCATCGGTGTTTCAAAAGTAAACTGTAGTTATAGGTAAAATCTAACAAAAGTCTAATGAGCATATGTAAAAATATATAGTGTTTTACTTAAAAAAACTGAGTTGCGTTACATCTTAAAAACTGGACACTCTGTATGGTTAAAAATAATTTTGGAATATAGTCCTCTACTATTCTGATCATTGACTTGTTTTAATATAATTCGCCCTATATACATATTAAGAAAATTGTTCGAAGTTCCGATTTATATTATCTACCAATTACATACAGAGTGATGAAAAAATGATGTTTATGCTCGATGATACGTTGTTAAGAAGGCTTTGAAGAACTCGAAAAAAATGGTTCCAAAAATTTAAACTATTGAAAATATTTAACACCAAAATTGAAGAATTAACTTCGTAATTCTGATTTGATTTAATGAACTGTCTGACAGTTAAAAAATTAGTTATTAATAATTTAATAATAATTTACTAGAATACGATCCATACCGTCATTTTTCAATACTGACACAAGTCATTTTTGACAATTTTTATCGGAATTTTAGATTTTCAGTTAATTTTTAAATTAATTTCGAAGAATTAAGATTTTCGAAAATTTGGTTCAGACATTTTTTTTACCATTTTTTTCGAGTTTTTCATAGCCTTCTTAACAACGTAAAATTGAACATAGGTATCCGTCATTTTTTCATCACCCTGTAGAGTTTTGCATTCTAAAAATAATACACTTCATCCCTCCCTAAACACGAATAAAGTCATCTCAAAATAAATTAAAAGCAATTTTTAATGAAAAATATGCCCTATATATCTATTGTGCTTCAGATTAAAGAGAAGTTCGAGTTTTTTTGGAATCTTTTATAAGCTTTGAACAGTGTTATTTTATTTAACCTGTGCAACATTTTTATTTTTTGGAAATCTATTTTAGAATACATTCACGTCTGTCAAATTTATACACATTTTTGTCAAAATTTCAAAAACCATTTTTATAATTTGCCAAACTAAAAAACTCCGATTTTCATTTTTAACAAAATCGTACATATTTTTCTTGAATTTTTCAAATTTTGCAATGCTCATAATTAATTTTTCACCATAAATCATTATAAATAGTTTACACATAATCAGCTGAAAATTTTGAAAAGCAACTTAGTTTTTTGAAAAATTTGTCTTGATTCGCAATGTGTTTATAAATGCGTTTTTAACCAATTTCGGATTTGAATTTGTGTTGCGATGTTCTCAGTTTTATAATATTTTAATAATTCCAGTGTGATGTAATAGAATTTTGATATTTTCAAAAATCCACTTTCTTTAGTTATTTTCACCTACACTACATAGAATTTTTGTTTTTTTTTCACGTTTAATTTTGTATTCAATCTAAACACCTTACAAGCTTTAAAACACTCTTTTTATTTCAGTGGTTTACACGTGAACACTAAACCCATTAAAATTAAAAAACGCAAGAAGTTGATTCCGTTCTCGATAAGCCCATACTTACATATTCATGATCCTTAACATCGTAATTAGTCAACGAAAGCGTCGATCAGGTTTTTAAGGTATACCTACGTACAAAAGACTCTTAATCTTGAATTCGAGTAAGAAAACAAGAACTACTTTTTTGCTATGTATTAATTGACATTGCATACTCGATTCGCTCCTTTTATTATAGGGTGTATACAAGATTAAAATTCCTCGACCCAAAAAAATCGAAAACCAATTAATTTGTAATTAGTTTTTCTGATATAATTTTTTAAGTGTAACCGATACGCAATTTACAAAACGCTGTAGTTTGTCTATGTGTTAATTATTTTAGGTAATTAACTTTCGTTGTTTTTTCGTGCTCTTTTTAACGTCTATTAATTAATTTTCGATCAGTCAAAAAATTCCAACAGGAAACATTTTAGCCACCAACAAAAAATCTAATATTTTCTGTATGCTATTTTTTGCACCACACTTGCACAGCCACAGCGTGTCCCGAAACTCTCCCGCACCGCCCCCCACTTACATCAACGTTCTCCGCCGCAGCATCCACCGTCCATCGGGGGTTGAAGCGTCCACTCTCACTCTCACCCACCACACCGCGCGCGTGCCGCTCTTTCGGAACACACCGTATAATTTGTCCGTCTCGTGTGTAATTATCGCTTTAGTGGCATCAGCAGAGTAGCAGGTGTCGAAACGTGTAGCAGCGCTTGAGTACACCGTCAGTCAATAAAGCGGGGCAGCCACTGCCGACGGAGGCGAGGTACGGTACCGATGGGACGGCGTCCATATGGGCCGACCCATGGGCGGAGCGCGGCCGCACGTTCATTAATTACACCTCTTGTTACTGTCTATACACATGAATGTTAAACGTGTCGTAAATATTTGAGCTAACGAGCGCGGAGCCGGCGCTGGGCCTGGGACGGCTGAACCGCCGCCGGGGCGGCAGGGGCGGGTGCGAGGTAACGAAGGGGAGACGTGGTACCCAGTGGCGGAAGGCAGGGGCGAACGGGGTTTGGAGGGGTGTAGGGGGTTTATGGGTTTTTCAAAGTTGAAGGGAATACTTTATTGTGTTTTAGAAAAAATATGGAAAGTGGAAATTTTGCCTTCACTTTGGTACAGTTGACTGTTTTTCTTTTTTCTTCACTCCTTTATTTTCTGGGCTAAATTGTTCTGTGGAACAATCAAGAATAAAATTGAAAATGAGATATTTGTTGAATACTGTATGAAATGAAAAAAAAAACACTTTGGTTTGTGTAATCTAAGCTTTGATAAACCCACGTTGTTAATAATTTTGTGTATTTGACAATTCTATTTTTAAAATTCTGTTTTACTTGCTTTTAAGAGGGATGAATTTGGAATTGTTTGAGATATATAGGCCTAAATGTGATGGAGCATTGTCCATCAGTATTACAATTTCCGGCAAAGTTGGTTTTCATACAATTCTTCGTATTGTATTCCTATCATATAATTCAGTATTGTACTGTTTTATATTTCTTGCCGAAAAAAATTTGAAAGAAATATACTATTCTGAAACGAACAATTCTGTCAGACTGTTTACTTTTCTTAATGTACCTACCTACTTAAATCTCATCTCAGGAAGTATTGCCTTGCATAAAACGCATCATTTTAGTAACAGCATCGCAAGTATTTAACTAACAATGTAACTATTATTCACAGAAAATGTGTTTTTTTCACCTACTTAAATTAAGTTGTCTTATAGGGTACTTAAGTTCCATCTTTGGAAAGTTTCTTTAAAATCGACTGCCCCGTCGGAGCAAAATTGTGCTCTTCAATTTAGAGAATTTTTGTTTGAAGTGTGTTCTCAAAATGATACTTTAAGTAAGCTTGTTGTAGGGAAATTTTCCTAATTTATTTAGTTTAACATTTTACTTACCTTTAAATCCCATTTTTTCTTATTCTTCGGGCTTTATCGAAATAATGTTCAAAAACAATTCGACAAATTAAAAAATATAATTGTTATTTGTATATCTATAGTGGGGGCAAAAAATCCTTTGAATTTTTTTTGCCCCTTCTTTTTTAAGAATATAAAAGAATGTTTTGTTTTTGAGAGAATACGAAAGAATTTTGAGTGTCCCGAGTGTTTTTTTTTATAAATATGAAAAAAAGAAAGAACTTAAGCTATTGTTATTGAAAAATTCCGGAGACTTTCTTTTTGTTTTAGAACGAATCTGAAAGGATTTTGGGGCTCCTGGAGTTTGAAAGAATTTTAAAAAATCTCTTTTAATGCGCACATTTTAATTGCGTTATTACCGTTTACCATTTAATATCGCAGGTCAGTAAAATTTTCGTGGACACAAAAATAACGTTTTGTGAACACTCTGGATAGTTTGAAAGAATCCGTAATTCTTAAAACTTTCATTGGTTAATTAATTTCCTACTGGACGATTTTCCACAATGATTAAAAAATTAATAGATTCATAGTATTTTACAGTTCTTTATTGAAGCAATAGACGCTGTCATTTTTGAAAATGAATTTTTTTTTCGTATTTCCGTTTTCATTTTCTTTCGAAACATTTAAAGAATACAAAAAAAAATCACGATATCTAATTGTTATCAAGGCTGTAGTAGATACTGAAGGATTTATTCCACGAAAACTGTAAAAGTAAGAAAAATTTCTTTAAAAAAAATACAAAAATAACAGAAATTCGGTGTTTTTTTATCTTTATACCTAGATCTAGGTAGTTCAAAATTTGAAAGAAAATCAGAGGGGTTCAATATTTTATTTTAGAATGAGCTGGAAAGAATGTGGGAGGCCCTGCTATTTGTTTGTACAAAAATTTCAGAGGTATCTAATAGTGTTTTGTTTTAAAGCAAATTAAATTAAATTAAATAATTTTAAGGAATCTCTAAAACCTCTGATACTTCAAAAGAGTTGTAAAAATTATGGGGCGCAACTGTTTTTTTTTCTTTGAAAAATATTCTCAGGATCCTGTCGTGTTTTGTCTTCGAGAGAATTTTCAAGTGTCCCTCGTGTTTTTTTATTTTTAAAGAATCTCGAACGAATTTTAAAGAATGTCGGGGACCTCAGGTATTATTTTATTTTATTTTGTAAGAATTTCAGGACGTTTTTTGTTAATTTTTTTTTTTAAACTCTCGGGCATCTTTGGCGTTTTATCTTTGAAAACATTTTAATTAATTTTTTTTTTAAGAATCTCGGGGCCCATATAGGATTTTACTTTTAAACGAATTGTAAAGAATCTCGAAGCCTTCTTGTGTGTTGTCTTGAAATAATTGTAAAAAATCTTGGGGACCTTGGTGCTTTTTTTATTTTTTTAAAGATTTCAAGGCCCTTTTTGTTTTATTTTTTAAAGAATTGAAGAATTTTTAAGGTTTGAATCTTGGGGTATCCTGGTGTTGTGCATTTGAAAGAATTTTAAAGAATATCGGACGCCTCTGGTGTTTTTTTTATTTTATTTTTTTAAGAATTTCTGGATCGTTTTTGTTGAAAAATGTTTAAAGAATCTCAGGCATGTTTGGCGTTTTGTTTTGTTTTTTAAATAATTTTAAATAATTTCGATCGCCCCTGGTATTTTGTCTTTGTCAGAAGTTTAAAGAATCTTGGAACCTCTGGCGTTTTTTTTTCTTTTTTAATTTTTCAAGAATCTGCAAAACCCGTACCTGTATTTTGTCTTTGAAAACATTTTAATTAATCTTAGGGGTTCCTGCTTTTTTTTCTATTTTTAAAGAACCTCGGAGCCTCCTTGTGTAATGTTTTGAACAAATTGTAAATAATCTTGGGGACCTTCGTATTTTTTTTTTTTTTTGAGAATTTCGGGGCCTTTTTTTGTTTTGTTTTTGAAGTAATTTTAAATAATTTCCATTGCTAGTGGTATTTTGTCTTTGAAAGAAGTTTAAAGAATCTTGGAATCTCTGACGGTTTTTTTTTTGAAAAATTTTCCAAGATTCTGGGGAACCCGACCTAGCATTTTGCCTTTGAAAAAAATTTAATTAATCTTAGGTGTTCCTGTTTTCTTTTTCCTATTTTTAAAGAATCTCGAAGCCTCCTTGTGTATTATCTATTGTTTTGAAAGAATTGTAAATAATCTTGGGGACCTTCGTATTTTTTTTTTTTGAGAATTTGGGGACTTTTTTTGTTTTGTTTTTGAAATAATTTTAAAGAATTTCGATTTCCCCTGGTATTTTGTCTTTGTAAGATTTTTTTTTAATCTCGGGCGCATGTAGTGTTTTGCACTTGAAAGAATTTTAATGAATCTTAGGGGGCCCTGTTTTTTTTTTTTAAACACATTTAAAGAATCTCAGAAAACCTGGTGTTTTGGTTTTAAAAGAATTTTTGAAGGGTCTCCGGAACCCTTGGTGTTTTGTCTTCGAGAATTTTTTAAAAAATCTCTTGTATTTTGTGTTCTGTTTTTGAAAAAATTTTAGAATCTCGGAGACTGTTAATATTTTACTTTTCGAAGAATTTTAAAGAATCTCGACTCCTTGTGTGTTGTATTCGAAATAATTGTGAAGAATCTTCGGAGCCCTGGTGTTTTTTTGTTTTTTTTTTGTAAAAGTTTCGCAGCTTTTTTGTTTTCTCTTTGAACGAATTTTAAAAAATCTTGAGGCTCCTGGTATAATTTTTTGTAACATTTTGAAAATTTTATTTAAAAAGTCTAGAGTGCCTTTGGTATGTTTTGTCTTTAAATGAATTTTGAAGAATTGTGGAGGTCCTTTTTAATATTTAAAGAATCTTGAGAGCCTCTAATATTTTGCTTTCAAAAGATTTTTAAAGAATCTCGAGGCCTTCTTGCTTTGTCCTCGAAGGGATTGTAAAGAATCTTGTGGTGTTTTTTTTTTCCAAAATTTCAAAAAATCTCGGGAACCGTAGTCCTTTGTCTTCAAAAGTATTGTACAGAATTACTTTTGCTATGTTTGGTCTTTGAATGAATTTTGAAAAATCCTGGGGACCTCTGATGATTTTTTTTTTAATTTTAATGAATCTCGGGAGCCTCTAACATTTTGCTCTTAAAAGAACTTTAACGAATCTCAAGGCCTTGTTGTGTTGTTTTCGAAAGAAATATATAAAGAATCTTGGGGGTGAGGCGGTTTTTTTAGAATTTCGAAGCCCTTAAATGTTTTGTCTCCGGAAGAAGTTTAAGGAATCTTGGAACCTCTGGCTTTTTTTTTGAAAAATTTTCCAAGAATCTGGGAACCCCGTAATATTTTCTCTTCGAAAAATTTTAAAGAATCTATTTGTTTTGTTTAAAAAAAAATTGAAGAATTTGAAAGAATTTTAATGAATCTTAAGGGTCCCTGGTGTTTTTTTTAGATACCTACATATGTAAAGAATTTCAGGAAACCTGGTATTTTGCCTTTAACAGAATTTTAAAAAAAGTCGGAAGCACTTGGTGTTTTTAAAGAATCTCCAAGATCTCTTGGGTTTTAAAGAATTTTGAGGAATCCATAATCTTGAGATCTATGGAAAAGAAAAAGTATAACAATCCTGGAGCCCCTGGTGTACTTTTTTCAAAAATTTTCAGAAAATCTTTCGGGAACCCGTGGTGTGTTTTCTTGAAATAATTAATTGTAAAAAATAATGCCTTAATGTTTTTTTAATTTTTTTTTTAAGAATTTCGGGGCCCTTTTTGTTTTATTTTTGAAAACATTTTACATAATGTCGAGGGCCCCTGGTGTTTTGTATTTGGAAGAAGTTTAAAAAACCTTAAACCTGTTGTGTTTTTTTTTAATTTTCGATGAATCTTGGGAACCAGTTGTGTTTTGCTTGTCAAAAATTTTTAAAGA